TACAGCTCCACTGTAAAAAAAAAAAAAAAAATAAGGAAACCCTGTTTTGGATTGAGAATTGCAGTTAATCTGGGATCAATAACCTATCTTTACACAAGAAAGGATTAGAGCGTTCCCGAGATCTACCTTGTCAGTGTCAATCTGTGCAGATGAATTTTGAACAATTAGTCAGTGATCTAGTTTCTCCCTGCAAAGACAAACGATAGTGTTACATTAAAGATGGAATACTTTTAATGTGCTAAAAGTATTCCATCTTTTAGTACATTAAAGCTCTAAATAGTTGGTAAGTGAGCGCACCAGGCAGGATGTTAACAAGAAATATCCAGGGAGGTTCATCCTGAACATCATGTAAGAGTATATGCATGTACGGTGGCTCTCAGAAGTGCTGTGATACGTCAGCATTTTGTGATATAAATAAACTGGACTTTTAAAAATCATGTAACGTATTTCCATATATAATGTCCTGTACTTTTTGTGCAATTCAAATGAAAAATTATTACCAGAGAGATTTTAGAGGAATTTTCCAACACACATTAGACAAATGTTGTGGAATCAAGTTTTAGCAAAAATATTTGTTTATGTCACTGGGTTATTGTAGTTTCTAATCTGAATGAATATCACATTATATGTGGAAAAGGTTTAGAAATGATTTATCATGGTGTCATTTCTTACATCACAAAAACTTGCCTGTCTAACAGGGGAGTGTACACTTTGAGAGAGCAACATTGACTATAAACATATTAAATGGTAAGAAGATGCAAGAGTTCCTTTGCAAGTCTTGGGTTTTATGCCACAGAAAAAATGTGTTTGGGTGCAAAAACATAGGATTCAACGGCGGATTATGATTCTTAAAGGGACGGAACATCCTGAAGAGTCAAGCTAAACCATGCACTAAAACCTCAGATCGCACAGTCGCTCTTTTAGCCAACCATGCACACCGACGCGTCTGCTTCAAAATGATATACACAAATCTGTACACTATTATACAAAGCAAGGAATACACTTCATGTCACTACCCCGAAACAGGAAAGGGGTATCACGGTTTCCAGATGCTACAACAATGGCGCTTCCGACCATTTAAAGAAAGAAAAAGAAAAAGGTTCAACAGTTAAATCGCTGGTAACAGTGTTCCCACTTATCCGGCGCGTAACGTTGTTCCATGTTTCTTCAACTACAGAGGTATCACAAAAACCCAAGGATCAAGTACTAAAATGAGTATATAAGGACAAAACAGCGAGTATTATATGCATTTGTCACACAGTCCATGATGCATAAAGACGTACATGCATACAGTCCAACAGTGCTGTATGCACCACGAGATATTACACATCCTTGTGAGAATAACCCAACTGAAATCGACACAGTAAATAAACGCACACACAAAATCGACATGTAAGTCGGGAGATACAAGAAATCACCTGCAGGAGCACCAGGCGTGTCCATGAGGAGGTGTGTGTGTGTGTGTGTGTGTGTGTGTGCGTGCGTGTGTGTGTGTGTCTATCATGAGGAAGAAAAACTGCAAAGAACAAACAAAAAAGTAAGGATAAAATAACAAGACATGCGTGACTTAATAATCCTGACATTTATCCTCCCTTCTACGCGTCATCTCAACGACCAAAAGTTCACAGGTTACAAGTTCACAAGCACAGAGTATTAGGTTGTATTATCAAGAAATTTTAAAAGTAATACCATTACAATGTGACTGGAAAGCCTCCCTTTCCCCCCTGAGTGATTGTGTGTATGCATAACCAGCCCTGCAATCTGCTTGATGAGAAGAGCTTTAACACAGATCCCTGCTTATAGATTTTTTTCTGTATATGTAAAATATATATACATATGTGTGTGTGTGTGTGCGTGTGTGTGTGCACGTGCGATTTGGCTGCCAGCATACACTACTGTTTGTTTCAAGTGAATTTGGCAATATACAGAAATAGCTTATTGTCTTTTTTTTTTTTAACTCAAGAACCAAGTGGTTTCTAGAGGAATGAGGCTAAAAAACCAAAACAAAACAAAAAATCTTTCCGTGATTTTTGTTCTGGCTGCGCTACATGTGGCTGCAGCTCAGGGATCCCGCCAGTCGAAGGTAAAGCAGAACCAAGATAAAACAACAGGCGCATTTTCCTCTCGGGACAGGATTCAACACTGTTCATATAGCACCTGTAGTGGTGTGGAAATGTTCACAACTATAGGATACAAGTATTCATTTTGGCTACATCTTGGGGTGCAATAAACTAGCCCAACAGAGCTCTCCAGAAGCTAGTACAACAACAACTTTTCTCCTTCTTTATGCACACTTTGGTGTACACAGGAATGAATCAAATGATGCGAGTTTTAGCTGATTATTATGTTAAAGTTACTTAAATTCAAGCAAAAACAGTAAGTGCATGGCATAAACTTTAAGGAATTTCAACTTCGAAGGTTTCTGAGGTCTTCTCAACGTGTCAGTTTGTCTGTGTGAGTGCCTGCAAAAAGTGTGTGCACAACCACCCAGCAAGTCCCTCCAATTCTCTTCATTTCACCAACACACCAACTGTGTTTTTTTGTTTTTTTTTTATACAGACATGATCGATCCAGAAACATTTTTGATAAAACAGAATAATGGCAAAAAATAAAATAAAAAATACAACAGATCAGTGAACAGATAAAATAACTAAGAACAGATGGATTTCTTTTAAATGTAAAACATCCCACGTCCTGTCTTGACTTTTTTTTTTTTTTGTCTTTAGTGGGAACAACTGCACCACGATTTCTTATGTCTTCACCTCACCTTTAGTCCTTTAATTCCACCTGAAGATATTTCTGATAAGCAGTGTCTCCTGACTGGACGTCAAAGAAAAATTGCATAACTCTATGTTTTTTAGTAAGCTTGTTGTTATTGTGTTGTTGTTGTTGTTGTTGTTTTTTTTATACAATGGATTTTTTCTTTCACAGGAGGATTTGTGGGCTGATGTGTAGCATCTTTAAAGTCAGTCAGGTCGTTCATGGTTCACCAGTGTGGGAGCGAAGGTAAAGCTCGTGAGAGGAAGTCTGCTTCTGTAAACACAGGGTTTGTATTTTACATTGTGCTGATGGCTGGTTTGGCAAAAAGGGGAGGTTCTGTCTGATCTCCTCTTGCACCACGTAAGTCAGACCTGCAGAGATAAAGACAACAAAGTCATTATGCCTTCAGTATTGCTTCATAAAGACAAGTATTTCAATTAGAAAAAGACCAATCAGCTAAATTTCAAAATAAAATTTGGTCTGCAAGCTAGTGCTTTTAAAACTGCCACACGGTTCTGATGCCGTTATCAGCCGTCGGATAATTTTGAAAAACTTTTACCGTTAATGCTCAACTTAACAATATATTTTTGTAATCTGGAAGGATTTTATGTTCAACAACCCAACAGAGTCTAGACTAACAATCTCTCCAGGATAGCCTTATCTTTCAAAACGTGTCAGACAGAAGTGTATCAGAATCAGGAATTAATATAAAAATAGAACCCTGATCAAATACTGGATAAGAACATCCTTATAAATAACATTTCCACTGCAGGTACGACACTGGGTTATAGATTTAGAAAATAATGTTCAGACTGGAATGGACATTTTTGACCTTAAAAATGAAATTTATTTTTTACCTACTTGAACCACTTACTCTAGCTGTGAGTATCCATTAAAACATCTTTAAAACATCTCCAGACTGAGAATGAACACCATCGACTGAAGGTTAGATACAGACTAGACTGACTTCAAAAACTCTGAATTTTCCCTTTCATCTCGGGTCATGGGTGCAAAGTGCAGGAACAGAATTTTAAAGGGAAGCATTTTTGTTTTTGGGTCACAAAAAAACGTCACCCAGCTGCAACAAACCCTGCTTCAAACTTGATGAAGCACCTGTTTGCAATGCTCCTCTTCACAACACTTGTGGTGAGCCACAGTCGCAGCTGAAAATTATGGTGGAGCAGAAGCTCTAAAGCTGTAAAAGCTAGCTTTCCTGTTTGCTAAAGTTGACTTTCCACAGAAACATCACTAAGCTGTTGACACAGCACAGGTACACCTCTGACAAACTCACGTTCTCTTCTTCTGTCTCAACCAGGCACCCAGCTCTGCTTGGTGCTTGTGAAGTTGCTGACTCCGTTCATGTTGGCCAGTGACTCAAAATTAAAATCCAGACCATCAGCATCCATCAGATCATTCCTAATGATGGACTCCATGTCACACTCCAAGCTGCCGCTGTTGAACATGTCCAGGTCCAGGTCTGTCGGGAAGCGGTCCTGACACCCGCCGCTGCTGCTCGCCGGGCCATTTAGAAAGATGGAGGTGTCAATCTGCATGGAGGACGTTCCGTTTCCACCAATCGGTGACAGTAGAAGTTGTTGTTTGGCGTTAGCCAGAGTGTTTGCCTCGTTGGCGAGGTTCAGATCGCCGTTCAAAGACCTCATGGTGCTCTGGTTGTGGTTGTTAGTTTGGAGCATCTCCCTATGGCTACTCTGGAGTCCACCAGTGGTCCCAAAAGTCATGACAGGATCGTTACGGACCATAACATTTCGACGGGAGTTCTGGGAAATGATGGCAACAGCACTGGCCTGTGACATTAATGGGTCAGACTGGGTCATCATGACGTCACTGTGATTGTGGCTGTCAGAGTTAAGAAGATCTTGTAGGGTTTGGCTGCCAAAGTGAGACATGCCAGTTGTGGAAAATGAAGTTTGCTTATTCTCCTGGATGGTCTGCATGGGAGATGGACGTAGGGAGGAGCCTGCTGTGTAAGGGCTAAAGATGGAGTTACTGTAGCTATTGCCTCCCCCGTTAGAGGAGTTGTTGGAGGATGGAGATGAAGTGGAAGAAGGTGACCCTAACCCGTTGGGCTTGGACCCAAAACTAAACCCTGAGGAACCATTCTGCATGGCTTGGCTACAGGTGGTTGGTACGAGCTTGATGTTATCCAGAAAATCATCCATCAGATCTTGTGCGATCCCGTCATTTAGATTCATTGTATTTGCCAGATCTGCCAGACGAGGCAGCTCAGTGGGCACGGCCTTCCCGTTGGTGTTTCCAGGAGACAACGCCCTGCCAGGACTGGAGTAGATCATAGGCGAGAGAGGAGGCTCGTCGTCAGGCACCTCGTCCAGCTCGGGATTCGCTAAGATTGGCGAGAGGCGGCCGCTGAGCGTGCTGGCGTTAGAGTTGGTTCGGGAGCGGAAGTCTGTCCAAGCATCCAGCTCCTCGCTGCTGCGTGACGTCGGGCTTCCCGGCCACTTCGAGGGGCCTGACGGACTGTCTCCGCCGCCTTCCCCAGCTGCAGCAGCCACAGCCTGCAGGGCGGCCTTCTTCTTAGCAGCAGCACGGCCACGAGCAGACTTGGTGTACTTGTTGCTGTTGTCCATGGAGACGGCCCGGCGCCGTGGAGCCTTGCCTCCCTTTCCTCCCTCTGGGTTGATCATCCACCACGAACTCTTTCCTGTTCCCTCATTCTGGACACGGATGAAACGACTGTGGAGAGACAGGTTGTGCCGGATGGAGTTCTGGAACGAGAACAAAGAAAGAGATTTTAATAAGAAAAGTGAGGCAACCTTCCATAAAACAAATAATCAAACTTTAACCATCATTATTAGAATTGGTACAAGATATCATGATGTTAAAACACCATGCTATTTCAAAATAACATCTCCTTGAAAAATAAGCATAAACTATTATGGGTTTTGGATTGAAGGTGAGTGTTTGAGACTCTTATTTTGAGGTTTAAAAGGAAGTAGTTCTTGGATTGTTGCCTTCAAAGAGTTGAGAAATAAAGACGTCTTGACTGGCTGTGTCTCCAATACCTAAATTATTTCTCGCAGCATTTTCATGTGGAAATGTGGAGAGAGTGAGAGAGAAGAGGGAAACAAGCTAGGTGCTGACAATGCAACAGATGCTCTGGAAACCTTTGTCTAAAATGAAAGCGCTATTTTGCAGTGTTGTAATGATTCAGATTGTGTTTGATGATCTCTGGGGCAAAGTCTAAAATAAACAGATGAAACCTGAAGTGCATAATTTGACCTTGAATTAAGATTCTTCAAACACGGTGTGACATTTTGAAATCTTTATCGGTCTCAGAACCTTCTTAGAGTAAGAGATGTATGCAATACACAAACCTGCAATAGACTTTGCTATTCTTTATTGATTCTTTATCTCACTAATCAATAATTTGCTAAATTATTATTTTGTGTTTGCAAACATATTGACAAAATCTTGTCTCATCTTGTGACCTGGATGTATGTTTACACCCAGGTCTCTTCACAGTATTGATTGTTTTTTTTCCAGTCTTTGCCCACATAACTTTTAAAGAATAGTTTGCATTACATTTAAGAACACAGATCCATAACCCATCCCCCAACAACTCCAAACACACACACACGCACGCATGCACACACCTACACACACACTCCCTCAGCATGACTAAACATACAAGCAAACCCAAAAGCTTATTGTTTCAGTTGCTTGTCAAATACACACAAGCTCACATTAATGTGGAGTGATTCACTGCGCTGCATTGTTCCTGCTGCAGCATTGTACTGTTGCTATAACAGAAAAGAGAGACTATAATTGATCGTCTCTTGGATTATGAATGACACATACAAAGAGCTTCTGTTTGTGAGATCATGCGTGTTTGGGTGTGAATTTCAGCTGGTGTATGCTCATAAACTATGATTTCTTGTGAAAGCCCAAAAGCCTCGTTGTGGAGGATTTGGTGCACATGACACAGCTCGTTAATGATCAGCAGTTTCATTCATAAGCTACAGATGTATGGATACATGAAATGCTTCTGCTGTTGACAACGTTTACACACACAGTGTTCAGCTGGACATTTGTTCATACTCGACATTGACGCTGTTGTAAATGACCGTCTTTTTTTCTGCAGGAGACTCGTCATCAGCCTTTCTGCCAGTGTTGCTTTTAGCACTTCTCCCAACATGTGTCAAGTTCTGATCAGCTTGTGGAAACACAAACTATGGAAAAATAATAAAAACTATTGGCATAACTCTTTCCCAACTTCATAATACGTTTGGTTCTTTGCTTTATCTTGGTCGTTTGTCTTTCAAGTGGTATTTTCTGTTAGCGTTTCCATTCGTGCACAGGACTTCCTGCACTTTTCTGACGTCCAAATTTTAGAGATTTCCTACTGTTACTTAGGAATACTTATAAGACTAAATACTCTATTCTATTCCCATGCTAATCCAAACCTGAGAAATACTTTAATCAAAATCCAGACTTTGTAAGAACCTTGTGTGAAGCAAATTTACATCACAAGTTGCTTCCAGTAGTTTTAGGTTCAAAGCAAATTAAAGGCTATATCAATGTTTAGTGTTTGACATTCTAGCTACATTTGATCTGATCTATTACACTCAAGCACAGGTCCATCTGGACCGCCCTTCCCTCACATGCAAACTCCCACACAAACACTAGCAGCCATCTGGTTTCTGAGAAGAAACCGATACATAGCGTGCAGGACAGTAAAATTATGAAACAGAAACTGTGACTGCACAGCCATAAACTCCAACTTCCAGGTCCGTGAATGTTTGTGGATGTGTTTTTACACGCTTTCCCTAAATATCACAACCAACTCTGAGCCTCTTTGAATTCCTTTCCTTGAACCCCATCTCCTTTCTTTCCGTTCCCTCTCCCTCTTCCTCACTTTCTGTTGTTTCACAAACATGTAGCTCTTATAGGCCCAGAGGGATTCTGGGGCTATGCTGTATCCTCCCATATAAACAACTCAACCACCATCCACAACATGCAAGCCAGTTTTTTTTTTTTTCTTCCCCACTTTGGTTTTCTTCTTATGTATATTTTTATTTCCGAACACAGGGCAGATTTCTGGGCTCAAACCAGTGCAAGCCTGAGCTGTTTTCAAGCGTTTGTGGGAATACCAACGTTGTTTTCCATAAAGCGATCCCAACTTTCTAGGCAAGAGTTTATGAACGATGGTCCAGGCAAGTTATTCTGGTCAAAAGCAGTTTATTCAGAGTGCAAAGGGTTTAGGTTACATTTCTGAATGCTACCCTGGCAGACGAACCTGAACTTTTGACTCTTTGCAAAGTAGTCGTGTCCAATGTTTCGTAACTAATGCACCTTATTCACACAGGACATCTCGGTGAACAGTGTCGCACAATGTCAAATCATTAAACTTGTGTGCGAAATCATGAATGGCTCATGTGGGTGAATGCACGTTTCCCAAGTGTGTGGGTGTCTATTTTGTGCAGTGAGGTAAGCAAAGAAGGAAATACCAGTGGGACTCGTGTTTGTTCTCTGAAAGCATCTCCAGAGGAGTGACGCAAAGCTGCCTCATTACCAAGCTTTTTAAAACACACATATGAATTGACACACATTGTGACTAAATGACGGAAAAAAAGAGGAATAAACGCAACAATGTTTCAAGCTTTCACCTGCCAATCTCTTCACTCTGCGTCCCTGCCTCTGTCCAACAAAGATGCTGATCTTATGTTTCTCTTTGTGACCACATATTTCATTGAAATGTCAAACAGAATGTTTCAGGACAGAGTGTGATGGAGTGGCGATAAAAAAAAAAAGAAACAGGAGATTTCTACCAACATGAACGGTGGCAGTGTAAAACTGGGTATCTGGTGCCAAGTGAGAGCGAGAGTGACTGATTGTGAAAGAGGAGGTGAGAAGATGATGAACGCAAGATAAAGAGGTGGAAATATCAGCAATGAGAACAGTAACACTGGTAGCTGCATATCCTCCTACGTACTCATATTGCAAAGACCTTATGCTCATTATCTCTGATGTACAACTCAAAAATACACGTCGCAAATTTTGTGAATTTGTTTCGTCTCATTGAACAAAAATGCTTGTTTTGCTTTTTTTTTTTTTCCTAAACAAAACTCTGAATGGTGCTTGGTGTGCTCATGGTACATCACAGTGTGAACAGGGTACAGTATTTTTATTACTCTAGCTCCTCCTGGGTATTCCCAAAGCCCATTAATAAAAACAGCACAATGAGACAGCAGCTCTGATTCATAGCTCCTACTAAGCAACAACAGGAGCTAAATAACACACAAACACAGTTTACAGCCAAAACTTACTGGAACAGGTTTAGGAAAGCACTGAGAAAACAATTAAATAATGTTTTATGGCGTACAAACTAGCATAAAAATATCCCCTATCAGTGCCTTTACAGCAAAGTGCAAATGTTTTCATCATAGCAAACCTGTTAGCAACCACTGACTGCTGAAGGGAGGTTTATATTGTAGTAATCAGCTGTAAATTGTTTGTTTTATTCTATATAAGTTTATGTTTTACTTATGAATATTATGTAACATTTTTAAAAGCTGGGAGTCCTGATAGAGCTGAACTTGCTTTGTGAGACTGCAGTGTGTGTCTGTATGTGTGTCCACCAGCTGCAGGCTAAGCTCAGGGGAACAGAGGACTTTTTGTCAGTCAGCAACATGTGGGAACAATTAATCACTGTCAGCAACCACGCAAGGAATCCCTTTCCCTCCCTTTTTTCTGTGACCTCTGATTTTTATTAGGGTGTGTAATGAACTCATATCTCAGATTATGTAAATCTCTCTTTGGATGTTTTCAATAAACCATTTCAAATGGATCGCAAGACCTCCTGGAGAATTAAGCCCATGTCTAAGGAGAGCTTGTGCGGTGAATGTAATGAACCTCCTAAAGGTAGTTCTCAAGCAGCATTCTCTGATTGGTCCAGATGAATCTTAGTGCTCTTTCTAATTGGTTGTATCCATCCCGGCTCAAGCTGTGGTGATTGGTAGAGTGAAATTGGCTGATGTAGCCAGGCAGTACAGAAAAGGGCGGGTGTCCGTGGTGTTGCATGTGTGTTTCATCACCCAGCTACAGCACATATCTGAACTCACATATATGAACCAGGCAAGCTTCACTTTACAAGGTTCCATGTTCTCTGTGTAAAACGCGCACCTCCCTTTACCTGATGCTCCAAAGTTACTACTGGAAACCGGTGAAAAATACATGTATTCGTTCATTTATATTCCAAGAAAGTGCTGCTAGCTCTCTCTCTTGGAATTTTAATCAGCGCGATATCGCCTAAAACAGGACCGGGTGAAAGGTTAAAGTGCTCTAATCTTGCAGAACCAATCTTTTACATTACACCTTAACCTCTTTTAATTCTGTTCTCACTGCTATGAAAGGACAAACTCTGTGGCCCGAGCCCGGTGGTGTACATAACCACCCACATGCAGACTGTGCATGTGTCTGTGCTTGATTCTTGGCCAAACATAACCCCACTTTTTCAGCCATTATGTAAACCAGCACTAATCTGAGTCTAATGTCAACAGTGACTGCTTGCTGCTGGGGTCAAGCGGACATTTAGCACAATGTCAGTCATGATTTAACACGGGTTGGAGGGGCAAATGACTGCGATTAAAAATAAGGTTTCTCAGAAGTATTAAAAAAGAGACACAAACATTATGCAGAAATGCTCTGTTTGAGCTTTCTAGAAAGTCTTTCAATAGGTATTTATATAGCCTTAGGCAATCTTTCC